ATGCAGGGATGGTTCAACATTAGAAAATCTATCAATGTAATCCACCATATAAACAAACTGCAAAAGAAAAACCACATGATCATCTCACTAGATGCTGAAAAAGCCTTTGACAAAATCCAGCACCCCTTCATGATAAAGGTCCTAGAGAGATCAGGGATAACAGGAACATACCTGAATATAATAAAAGCAATATACAGTAAACCAACAGCTAACATCAAACTAAATGGAGAGAAACTCAACACAACTCCTCTAAAATCAGGAACAAGACAAGGCTGTCCACTCTGTCCATATCTCTTCAATATTGTACTTGAAGTTATAGCTACAGCAATAAGACAACAAAAGGAGATAAAGGGGATACAAATAGGAAAAGAAGAAGTCAAACTTTCACTATTTGCAGATGATATGATAGTTTACATAAGTGACCCGAAAAACTCCGCAAGGGAACTCCTAGAGCTGATAAACACCTTCAGCAATGTGGCAGAATACAAGGTAAACTCAAAAAAATCAGTGGCCCTATTATATACAGATGATGAAGTGACTGAGAAAGAAATCAGAGAAACATCACCCTTTACAATAGCCATAAACAGCATCAAATATCTGGGGATAATGTTAACCAAGGAAGTGAAAGACTTGTATATCAACAACTTTGAGTCTTTAAAGAAAGAAATCAAAGAGGATACCAGAAAATGGAAAGATCTCCCATGCTCTTGGATTGGTAGGATCAACATAATAAAAAAGGCAATCTTGCCAAAAGCAGTCTGCAGATTCAATGCAATCCCTATCAAAATTCCATCACAATTCTTCAAGGTCCTGGAAAGAACATTAATCAACTTTATATGGAAAAACAAAAGGCCCAGGATAGCCAAAACAACCCTATACAATAAAGGAACTTCAGGAGGCATCACCATACCTGACTTCAAGCTCTATTATAGAGCTATAGTCCTGAAAACAGCTTGGTATTAGCACAAAAATAGGCATGTAGACCAATGGAACCGAATTGAAAATCCTGATTTTAACCCACACACCTACGAACACTTGATTTTTGACAAACAAGCTAAAACTATACAATGGAAAAAAGAAAGCATCTTCAACAAATGGTGCTGGCATAACTGGGTACTGGTATGCAGAAGACTGCAGATAGATCCATGTTTATGGCCTTGTACAAAACTTAAGTCCAAATGGATCAAATATCTCAACATAAATCCAGCCACACTGAAACTTTCAGAAGAGAAAGTGGAAGATACTCTTCAACGAGTTGGTACAGAAGACCACTTCCTAAACATAACACCAGTGGCACAAACACTGAGATAGACAATTAACAAATGGGACCTCCTGAAACTAAAAAGCTTCTGTAATGCAAAGACACAGTCAACAAGACAAAAAGGCAGTCCACAGAATGGGAAAAGATATTCACTAACCCCACATCTGACAGAGGGCTAATCTCCAAAAATTACAAACAACTCAAGAAGCAAGTCTCCAAAACACCAAAGGATCCAATTAAAAGGTGGGGTACAGAACTAAATAGAGAATTCTTAATAGAGGAGGCTAAAATGGCCAAGAGACACTTAAGAAAGTGCGCAACATCCTTAGCCATCAGGGAAATGCAAATCAAAAGAACTCTGAGATACCATCTTACTCCTGTCAGAATGGTTAAAATCAAAAACATCGAAGACAATTTATGCTGGAGAGGATGTGGAAAGAGGGGAACAATCCTCCACTGCTGGTGGGAGTGCCAACTCATACAGCCACTTTGGAAATCAGTATGGAGATTCCTCAGGAAAATGGGAATTAATCTACCACAAGACCCAGAAATTCCACTCTTAGGCATATATCCAAATGAGGCAAATTCATACAACAAGGGCATCTGCTCCACTATGTTCATAGCAGCATTATTTGTAATAGCCAGAACCTGGAAGCAACCTAGATGCCCCTCAACTGGAGAGTGGATAGAGAAAATGTGGTACATTTACACAATGGAGTATTAGTCAGCAGAAAAAAAACAATGGAATCTTGAAATTCGCAGGTAAATGTATAGCACTGGAAGAAACCATCCTGAGTGAGGTAACCCAGTCGCAAAAAGACAAACATGGTATGTACTCACTCAGATATGGATTTTAGACATGGATCAGAATAGTGTCAGTCTGCATTTCCACTGATAATCTGGGAAACAGGAAAGAACCTAAAAGATATGCATAGTACCCAAGAGAAGAGGATTGAGACAAGATCCTCTGAATGGATGGGGAACACGGTGAGGGGTGGGGGGGGGGAGTAGGAGCTGGGAAGAAGAGAGGGGGAGAAGAGGAAGAGAGAGTAGGTCATGGGGGAACAGGAAGTTTGAGTGGGGGGGTAGAATAGGGGGAAGAGGGAATCATAAGTTAGAAGACAGATCAGGCACCAGAGTGACCTCTAGTGATCTAAAGGGATAACACCAATTGGCAAGCTAAGCAATAGTGGAGAGACCACCACGAATGCCCATTCCTGATAATGAACTTGATGTCTGTAACCATCCGGGAGCCTTCATCCAGTGACTGAGGGAAGCAGAGGCAAACACACACAATTAAGCACTGAACTGAACCCAAGGAACCCAGTGACAGAGAGAGAGGAGTGATGAGCAAATTGGCAAAGAATGGGCTGGCAGAACCAGCAGAGACAGCTGATCTGAACAGGGGAGAGCTCTTGGACCCCAGACCGACAGCGGGGAGGCCAGCATGGGACTGATCTGGACCCCCGAATGTGAGTGTCAGTGAGAAGGCCTGGGCAACCTATGGGGCCCTGAGCAGTGGATCAGTGTCTATCCCTGGAATACAAACAGTCATTGAGTGCCCATAGCACAAAGAGGGATGCTCTCTCAGCCTGGCCTCTTAGGGGAGTGCCTGGACCCTACCCTGAGTGAAATGACAGACTCTAGATATCCCCTATGTGGAAGGAATTGGCAATAGGGTGGGAGGCTGGGGAGATGGGGAGTGAGGGAGTGGGGGAGGGAGAGGGAACTGGGATTGACATGTAAAACAAGCTATTTAAAATTAAAAAAAAAGAAGTTACGTATATAGATTCTCACACAACGTTGTATCGTTAGTTTTCAAGAATTTACGCATGTAGGTTCTCAAACATTGTTGTATCGTTAGTTTTTAATAAGTTACACATGTAGGTCCTCACACATTGTTGTATCGTTTGTTTTCATTAAGTTACACATGTAGATTCCCACACAGTGTGGTATCGTTAGTTTTCAAGAGGTTACACATGAAGTTTCTCAGTGTTGTATAGTTTTCAATAAGTTAAACGTGTAGAATCTCACACAGTGTTGTATTGTTAGTTTTCAAGAAGATATGCATGTAGTTTCTCATAAAGTGTTATATAGTTAGTTTTCAAGAAGTTATGCATGTATTTTTGCTCTCAGTGTTGTAAAATTCGTTTTCAAGAAGTTACCCATGTAGTTTCTCACACAGTGATATATCGTAGCTTTTCAATAAGTTACATGAGCATATTCTCAAACAAAGTTGTATGGTTAGTTTTCAAGAAGTTACGCATGTAGTTTCTCACACAGTGTTGTATCTATATGTTACAAGTGTAGATCCTCAAACAGTGTTGTATCATTAATTTTCAAGAAGTTACACATGTAGATTCTCAACGCTAACCCTAAACCTAACCCTCACCCTAACCCTCACACTAACCCTAACCCAAACCCTAATCCTAAATCTAACCCTAACCCTCTAACCCTAACCCCTAAACCCTATCCCTAACCCTAAACCCTAACCCTAACCCTAATCCTAATCCTAACCCTGAACCCTGAACCCTAACCCTAAACCCTAACCCTAACCTTGGAGATCAGTATGGAGATTCCTTAGAAAAACGGAATCAGTCTACCACAAGATCCAGCAATTCCACTTCTAGGCATATACCCAAAAGATGTACACTCATACAATAAGTGGTCTTTTTATTTGAATTACCATTTATCCTTCAAATTATTCCAATTATTTTTTATTTTTCACGTCACTTTTTAAAGAAGGAAGGAAGGAAGAGAGGAAGGGAGGGAGGGTGGGAAGGAGGAAGGAAGGAAGGAAGGAAGGAAGGAAGGAAGGAAGGAAGGACAGTTTTGTACATGCATTTTGCTAGGCACTGTGGATACATTCACTAACAAACCAGACAATGCCCCTGCTCTCATTGAGCTGACAATCTAAGGAGCAGAAAACACACCACACCAAATCCACACTGCCACAAATTTCTCCCAAGTTGAAGTGAGCTAAGAAGGCCAAGAATGAGGTGTTATAGTTCATAGGACATCATGGATTGTATCTGACCTGAGGGGTCTGGAGGAGTTTATGTACGGAAGAATGGTTCTGGGATGGAACTACAGGTTTTGTTTAAGTCAGGTGAAACCAGGTTAGAGTGTGCACTACAGAACACACTGTAGGAGGAGGAAATAGATTTGGACAACGCCTATGAGAGGGGCAGTCATACAGCCTATTTATGAAAATATCAAAGGTCCCTACAGCTTATGTGTAGACACAGTGGAAAGGACAAGGCCAGCACACAGGAGCCAGCCAGCAGACGCGGCAATGGCAACCTCATACTTGACCTGTGCCACATGTAGTCAAAGGCTCAAAACAACAAGTGAATAATGGCACAATAAATAATAAGTCAAAAAGGAAAGGAATGCATTTTTAAAAGTTTTCATGCTTTTTAAAAGATTCAGTATTATTATATTTGTGTGTGTGCATGCACACGTGTGTGCTCTCACATGTGCAAGAGCCTTAGTATGCAAGAGCCTGGGGAGGTCAGAAGAGGGTGCTGGATCCCTTGGAGCTAGAGTTAAAGATAACTATGAGCTGCCTGCTCCATGTGGATGCTGGGAACTGAGCTGGGTCCTCTTGAAGAGGAGTAAATGTTCTTGGGCACTGTCATCTCTCCAGCCCCTCAATGCAAAGCTCTAAGCATATATGACGCTTTGTGCCACATGTACCCTACACATGTAATTGTTCAATGAGACTGTACCAAGGACATTTTCTTATTGCAGCTTTGATTTATGGAGATCATCTTCCACAGAAAAACTTAAATCAACATTGACATGTTTTAAAAACATAAGGAAGACATAAAGTATACTTTCTGTACTGGTCATATGTACCCATGTACATAAGTAGCCATCATAATCCCCTAGTGGAGAATATGAAGCAATTGCATACCATTCTCTATGAAACAGTGTGTGCCTGTGAAAGGGTCATCATTTATTCTGTATGTAACAGCCTTCTATACCAACCCTCATATTTTGTAGTCTGTTTTCTTTTTTTTCTTTTCCCTGTTATAGAAAAGGCTCATCCTGAGGATGCACAGAGTAAAAACTATCCCAATAGAAAATGCAGATCAAGCCGGGCAGTGGTGGCGCACGCCTTTAATCCCAGCACTCAGGAGGCAGAGGCAGGTGGATCTCTGTGAGTCTGAGGCCAGCCTGGTCTACAAGATCTAGTTCCAGGATAGCCTCCAAAGCCACAGAGAAACCCTGTCTTGAAAACCAACAACAGCAAAAAAATGCAGATTACCAGTGGCCCTTCTTAATGTTCATTGAGTGTTCTAGACCAATTTTCTACACTGATCACTGTTGATTAGAATTCTGTAGTGACACATGTTACCAAAACTACAGGTTAAAATGGTCTATATGAACACACTTTTAGTAGGTACATTTGAAATATAAATATATTTTCCACTCTTACTTTTCTAAATGACTCTTTTGTTAAAAGAAAAAGAAAGAAAATCTTCATGAAGGTTTCCAATCAGTGGTGCATGCTGTCCATTCTCAACACCTCCATTTTGGAGCTTTACCTGCAAAACATAATGCAAGAAATTACCAAAAAGCAGCCAAGGGAAGCTCCACTCGGTTTTCAAAATGAAAACCGTAACTTTGTAAGATACATAATGTAAAACATTATCATTTTTATTGGGGTAGGGGTGAACATGAGTGTAGGTGCCAGCAGAAGAGGCCCCTAGGTTCCCTGGAGGTGGGCACTGGGAACTGACCCCTGGGCCTCTGTAAGGACAGTATATACTTTTAATCACTGAGCCAGCTCTGTAACCTTTCATTTCCAGTTTTTTAACATGAAAAATAAGAGCACCACTCTGCTTTAAAAAACATGAGATGTTATACCAGACTTCAACCTCTTCAAGTCACAACACTTAATGTCAGATGATATGCATATTTATAAATAAATCTTTAGATCATAAGCTTAGTGGCTAAAATCTTTAGAAATAACAGTAAACAGAATGTTTATTTTATAACCATCATGTTTATAAGTTAAAAAAAACATAACCCCATACTACAGTTTTTAATCTGTTAGGAAGGAATTTAAAAAAAAAAAAAAAACAGCATACTGATATTAGTTTGTCAACTGGACATTACCTAGCGTCACCAAGAACAGAATGGAATACATGTGCTGTTTAAATGAACTAAAGAACTGCCTAGATCAGACTGGCCTGTGGGCATGTCTGTGGGCCACTGTCTTGATTGTTAATTGATGCAGTCCAGTGCACTGTGGACAGTATCATCCCTACATAGGCGGCCATGAGCTATACAAGACAGGCAGGTAAGCATGAGCCATGAGAAGGAGCCAGCAGGCAGGGTTCTGTTTCACACTACTGCCCAACCTCTCTCAATGATGGAGGAGACATCCATCCTGTTTCCTGTTTATTCCAGATCACAGGTTCCTCCCTAAGTTGCTTTTGGCCAGAGCATTTTATCCCAGCAACAGAATGAAAGTAGGACACAGGGCAAGACAGCAAGTTACCTTAACTACTTTGTAAAAGGCAGAATGAAAGACCAGAAGAGCAAGGCCTTGTTCCACTAAACTCAAGTACTACAGCCTGCACTGCACAGAAGGCAACAAGCCCCCTTCTTTTTCATTCTTGCATTTAAGCTTTCATAGTCATCTTAAATTTTCTGAAATTAAGTACAATTTTTGTAGTGCTTTTTCCAGACCTGTTAGCTCTTAAAAATCAAGAAAGTTTGAAATAAAATGCTCACAGTTAAACCTTTCAAGATACAATTATCTCCCTTTAGTACTCACTCGGTATGAGAAAGTTTTAATTCTTCTCTTTGTTTTGCAGAGTAATTTAGATTCCCACCTAAAATATAAATGAGTAGTCATTTTAAGCAATATGAGTAATTAAATTTCAATCATACATATACACATATCTGCATAAAAATTATGAAAGAAAAACATAATTACACTTTATTTTTAGCTTTGTATATCTAAGTTTGGAGTTATATGTTGCTTCAGAATTTTAACTGAAACTCTGAGTTAAATGTCAGTATCACTAAAAATTAAGAAAAATTAAAAGAAATCTAAAATTATTGTGTTATATTCTCTTAAGTATATCATGCCCTTTAGGGAAGCAATTAGAAAGATTAATAAGAACTATATCAAATATTTATAAAAATAAATTAATGCATATTAGTGTATACTAGTAATAAAATTTGCTATTTCTACTTTTAAACCAAATATGTTCAACCTTGAAGTGAAAATTTATTTGCTTTTTTTTTTTTATAAATGAGACTATATTGGGCTTTAGGGGTTTTGCTAATATACACCTGAGATTTTATATTATGAAACACTGATCTTACTAGGGATGAGAAAGCATAACAGCAATTTGATGGAAGTAAAGGTTCAGAATGTGTGATTATAAACACAGAAATCACTAACAAACTAAATAAGACACTGGCCCTCAAGATAAAGACATCATGAGAGCTGCTTACCTCGGGCACGATTCACCAAATACAGACAGACCACAGCTAAAAGTGACACTGAAAAACACAAGGTGCATTTGTAAATGATGCCTATGAAATCAAAACTAACACACAAACCAAATTTGTCTTTGTGGGTACAGTGGTTTGAATAGGAATGGCCTCCAGACTCATGTGTTTGAATGCTTGACCCATAGGGAGTGTACTATTAGGAGGCATGGCCTTGTTGGAGTGGGTGTGGTCTTGTAGGAGGAAGTGTGTCACTCCCTGGTGGACTTTGCAGTCTCATACATACAAGCTATGGGAGACAGTTTACTTCCTGTTGCCTGGGGATCAAGATGTAAAATTCTCAGCTTCTTCTCGACCACCATGTCTGCCAGCATATGGCCATACTTCTCTCCATGATGATAATGTACTAAACCACTGAAACTGTAAGCCAGCCCCAATGAAATGTTTTCCTTTATAAGAGTAGCCATGATCATGGTGTCTCTTCTCAGCAAGAGAAAGCATAAGACAATTGACATTTTAAAAACTTTGCACATTTTTTGTTTCTAAAAGCTCTCAAGTGCCACAGCATTTTCCCTACAGGGAATCACTGCTTTTTAGCTCAGGAATGACAGGGCTGACACCCCACAGGAGGCAGGGAGTTGGACACAACCCAGACACACACACACACACACACACACACACACACACACACACACACACACACACACACCCCTCCTCCTTCCTCCCTTCTCATCCCAGAATTCCTGGCAGCTTCTGACCAGTTTGTCATTTCACAGAAGTAGCTCCACAGGAATTTCTCATCTGAGGACACCATGCTGCCTTTACTTGTTGAGGCACACTGTTGATCTGACTTTAAATGATATGGCAAAACCTATATGAACATTTTACTCTATATTATAAGAAATCAAATGCTGCCATGTGGCATACTCACAAGAAAGACAGGCAATGAAGAAAACCTCCAAAAGAAAGTATCCCCAAGAATCCAGTATCATTCCAGCAAGGATGGAAATGACGGCCAGCCCGAGGTTCTGAATGGACTGCATGCTAGGATTTCAGGATAAAATAACATTTCATTCTCAAAAGTCTTCATACACTGACCAACATCACTATTAACATTAGCATCATTAACCACAGATTACTGGTGTTATGAAAGAGTTTCAACAAGGGAGCACATGAATAGATTTTGGTTTTCTGAGAAAAGGAAACTCTGTAGCCCTAGCTTAGCTGGCCTGGAACTCACTTTGCAGACCAAGCCTGCCCCAAACTCAAGAAGATCCACCTAGTTCTGACTCCAGAGTGCTAAGATTAAAGGTGTGCACCACCACACCCAGCAGATTTCCGGTTTTATCCCAGACTGTTTCTGCTAGTAGACCATCAGCTCCGAGACAAGTGAAGTATGAAACACCGACCTGATGAATGAATGGGAGAACTACCTGCACAGCAGCCACAGGAGCAGCCGACCCCTTTGCCTTTGAGACCTGAGATATGGGTCACCCTCTCACTGAGAAGTGTTCAGATAGACAGGAGTGGGCATGTCTACAACTGCCTCCTATGGGTATTAGCTTACTCTAGTTATCTTGCTAGGGGCTTACCTTGCTGGATGGCCAAGTGTAAGTACATTTGACTACACTAAGAAGCACCTAACAGGAAAGCACTCTTCTAGGTGTGTCTGTTGGTCATAGCTAGAGTAATGACTTCAATGGGAAAGTCCTGAACATGGGCAAGCACCACCCATAGGCTAGAGGCCTGAAGAGAATAAAAAGACAGTGTGATGGCTATTCTTGGTTGTCAGCTTGACCATATCTAGAAGTAACTAAAACCCCAAAGTAGAGGGGCACAACATGAGGGATTTTTGATTAATTTGAAGTGGGATGAACCACTTCTAATCATGATCTTTAACACTTTTAATCCAGATCTTGAGTTGGGAAGACCCATCTCTAATCTGAGCTATGCTTTTTGCTGGAACCCTATATAAGGACATGGAAGAAGGAAGCTTTTGCTCTTTGCCTGCTTGGTCTCAGCTCAGGAGCAAGTCTATTCCTTCACTGGCATTAGAGACTATGTCTTCAGGATTCTAGAATATACTGAAGACCAGCTGAAATATCCAGCCTTGTGGACTGAACAACTACTGGATTCTTGGACTTTCCATTCATAGACAGCCATTGTTGGATTAGCGGGACTACTGCCTGGAAATCATTTCAATAAATACCTTTTTATATATAGAGAGAGATGCATTCTATGAATTCTGTTACTCTAGAGAACCCTGAGTAATACAGGAGGGAAAGAAGAAAGGCCTCAGAGCAGGCACAGAGGTGTGTGTGTGTGTGTGTGTGTGTGTGTGTGTGTGTGTGTGTGTGTATATGTGTGTGTATGTGCGTGCATGTGCATGCGCACATGCATGCACACACATGTTGTGCACCTGCTTCTGACTACCATGATTAGATCTGCCTCACCATAAGCCAAGAATCAATAGAGTTGAGAATGATGGGTTGAAATCTCTAAAATAAACCCTCCTCCTTTGGGTTGTTTTCCTCAGATTATAATTAGGGACAGTGACCAGAAACATTATGACAGTTGCGGTTCACAGCTGTCCCAGAACTCTGAGCATAACTACAATTGGGACACACGGGGCATTTGTAATTGATACAGCATAAGGCAATATGCATGGCATGCAGTACAAACGCAATACTTACAATCCATATGCAGTTCCCAGCTGGTGTTCTGGAACTACAAATGCCACCATGGGCCACAATGCACAGGCAAGCAATGAGTAGGAGAGTCCCAGGAGACACTAGACAGGAAGGCAGAATGACACAGTACACATCAGGTGACAGGTGCTGTTCCTTGATAAAGATCAATGAAAGTGACATACTAGCCAAATCAAAATGTAAATGTACTTAGATTAAAATTTTAAATGCTTGGGCCTCAGTACCCTCCACTTCTTTAACCATTTTCACTTGGGATATAAACTGTCTGAGCTGTGCTCTTGACTGTTCAAGATCACAGATAATTTGCAAAAAGTTATTACCCAAGTTTTACTCATGGCATTTACCTTATTTTGCTTAATTACAGATGAAGCAATCAAGGCAGCAGAATGACCTTATTCTACTGCTGCTTCTGGAGGACCAATTCTGAACTGAAAAGCAGAGCAGGGAACCACCTGCCATCACCACCACTTGTCAGACTCTATGTGACAATAAAAAAAAAAAAAAGCTTGCCTGACATGGTGGCAGCATGCCTGCAGATGTATAAGTGTGAGAGCAAGGCCAGTCTAGTCTACACAGTAAATTTAGAAGTAATTTTAGCTGTGTACCACAAAGGTGTATCTCAGTTTCTAAGAGGAAGAAAGAAAAAGTATGATTTGAATTTAAATTAAGTATTACACATACCTATCAGACTGGTAAACATAAAAATAATGCTGACACCTAACACTAGCAAGGAAAATGGACACACTTTTGCACTGCTGGTACAGTTATAAATAAGGAGGAAGTCCTTGAACATGGCAACCGAAGATATTCTCTGTGCAAAGCCCTAGGACCTGAATGTCCCTGTAGAAAGACTTCTGTGGAACTTTCCACCAAGTCCATAAACACATGTGCTCAAGAAGTTCCTGTAGAACAGGTAAGAGATACAGCACTTGAGCCTACACTCTGAAAGCTGACACAATGAAGACAACAAAAAGTGCATGGACTTACTGCCACCTCTTAAACCTGAGAATCCAAGACAAAAGAATGGCTACTGGGCTAAAAGTTTCGTCACTTTTAATGAAATGAATTATTTTCATGAAGTTCAGGAAAATACATTATTTTGTTTCAAATTCTACTTTAACTTTGAAGGTTCTCTACTAAATAAACCAAATGAAAAACAGTCCTTATACATTAATAATTGATAATCCCTTTTTAAAAACAATGTTTACTTTGTCAAAATTAACATCAAGTCTCTTCCCTCTCAGCACTGCCAGCTGGGCTTGCCGGGCACACCAAACGTGGCCTGGAGATTCTCTCTGAGTCATGAGCATCCCCCTAAACATTACCATAGCAATCCATGGGTTCCAAAAGGTGAAGGCCAGCATCATGTGGGATATGAGGGTGGCAGCTACTGCACACAGGACCCAGATGACATTCTTTCCAGTTTTATCCACCATGAGTCCAAACACTGGCGACATGGGAGCTGATATGACATACACAATACTGCCCGGAGAGCGTAAGATGTTAGTAGAATGTAGCACAGCTTCTCTGAAACTACCCGATGAAGCAAGCCTAACTCGTTTAATTTACCACTCTTCTAAAATGACCACCAGAAAATAGAAACATAAAAATCAATCTGAGAATTGTTTGTTTGTTTTTTCCCCTTAATTCAGAGCCAGACCCTAGGGTTGGGATCTGCAGCGTCGGGTGGGGGTGGGGGGGCTGTGGTCACACAATTTTTGTGGCCCCTCATGCACAGGCTCTGCTTATAAATACCCATGTATCACATGTAACAAGGGCTTACAGAATTACACCAAGTACCTGTTAATTGCACTTGCTGACTGGGGAGAAAATCCGAATTTCTTTATGAAGAAAACTCTAAAATTAAAAAGGAAAGTGTGTACATTAGGAAGAACTACTTTGTTTTCAAGAAATAAAGACAAGTTAAAAATAGCTCTAACGTTGAGTAAGCTTTTCTTTCCCGGTACTACTCTCCCACAGTCATCTCTTACCCATCGTAAAGCAATCTGCTGCACCTCAAGTATTCATGGAACTATTTCCCTGACTAAACTCTGACTGGCCCACACATTTTCAGAACACCAAATTAAAAGCAGAACTGCAGAGTTCCTTTACTATGTAATAAACAGAGTTCTTGTCACAGAAAGATCATAAAGACGTAAAAACACATTTGCACTCTCACACTCTGGCAGCCAATGAATGAGGCAAAATGCAGACAAAGCAAGTAAGAACCTGCCTTGAACCCTGACTCTAAGTCTGGAAGAATTAGCCCTAAGTGGACAGGAGCCAATGCACGACTTCCATTCACAGTAAGCAGCCTCCTGATCCAAGAACAGAAAGGAAATTTTGAAGTATTTCTTCAAGAAAATAATAAAAGTTTGAAACAATGTTAAACCTGGCTCTGTCAATACCAGAACATAAAATAATTAGTCTAAATAAACACAGTGTCCAGAGTAGCAAAATTAACTACAGAAAGTACCCACTCATGGATGTGACTGGCTTTCATTATAACTTCAGGTGGAAGGCGAGAATACTCACTTGCCCAGCCCAATGAAAGGGAATACTGCTACATAGTAGCAGACACAGATGAGGAAGACCAGCCACAGGGGCAAGGAGAAGTCCTTTATGTCAGTCAACTTAATGACATCACCTTGAGAAAGGGAAGACACATGATTTCATGAAACCTAAGGACCTTTCATCTATAGTCATCATTTCTATTCACATAATTAAAATTATTTTCTAGAAATTTCCACAAATAACATCTCTAAGATGATTTACCAAGTAATAGGAGAAAAAAAAAAACCAAACAAACCAGAAGTTACAGTTGTTCCTATCTATGAGAACTAAAATCATTTCACTAACACACAAAGCAAAATCAAGAATGTGCATTCTATCAGAAATGTTTAAACGGAGGAATACACACAAAAATTTAGATAAGCGGAAATGAATCTGGAAATGTACACATTCAGCATCAGGGAGCTGCACAATGTTTATGCTTCTGCAAATTATCTTTTAAAGTCTCCTATGTACCCTCTAGTGTCACACTGGCATACCTGTTTTTCCTTGTTCTTTATGAAGGATTTTCTCTGCTCTCCGATCCAAATAAGCAAGGACCAAGGCACAGATTAATGAAAGAATGCACGTTACACTCCCTAAATAAAGGAGAGAAATTTGAGAAGAGCCCAAGGGTTGGGAAAAGCAGCACACTACATGAGTGCACCAGTGCGGCCACCAAGGAAAGGCATTGGGAGTCAGGGCTAAGAAAAGCCTCCCAGTGCCAAATGTACACAGAAGAGGAACAGAATGGCAGACACTCAGCAAGCAGAGGTCGCTTTCACCACAATTATTTTTCAAAAGAAGGTTGGAAACTAGAAGGAAAATACTAGAACAAGATAGTCTAGTCTTGTAGGGCCTGGAGAGAGTAAATGACTAGCTATGGGAAGGTGAAGATAGGCAGATCTTTGGAACTCACTGGCCAGCCAAGTCTCAACTAAAGCAGTGAGCCTGAATTTCAGTGAGCGATCTTGTCTCAAAAACTAAGGTGGATAATCCCAGCACTAGGGAGGCAGAGGCAGATGGATCTGTGAGTTCGAGACTGGCCTAGTCTACAAAAGCTAGTTCCAGGACAATCTCCAAAGCAAAGAGAAACCCTGTCTCGAAAAACAAAAAAAAACAAGCCAAAACAAACAAACAAACAAAGGTGGAGAGTGATTGTGGAAGACACCTAACATTGACCTCTGGCCTCTACATGCATGTAACATGTTCACCCTCATGTACATGTGCACAAAACAATGTTAACACATCCATACAGCACAGAAAGAAAGAGATGGAAGGGATTTTTATCTGACCAGGGCACTATTTATGTTCCAATACAAACAGAGCCAGTAGACATGTTCTCCTGCTGCCACTGACAAGGTGACGGTTTTGGACACAAACTTGGCCTCTCTAAGGCTCAATTCCTCATGTATAAAATGAAAGGCTTTGATATGATGGCAAGTGTCTTTTCTACCTCTGAAATTCTTTAAAGTTCAGCGTGTAGAGAAATGCCATGGAATGCTGAAGAGCACCTGACAGTCAAATATTTTAACTCTGACAAAGCATTTGACAAGGAGGACCTGAGAGAAGGTAGTCTCCAGATGGGACACCCATTAGCATCCACCCTCTGCTACCCTCTTTAACCAGACTATGTGCATCAAGCAATTACAAGGAATAAAAGATACACACAACCAAACCTTCACCCCATTGATCCACAGGCCACTGTGAGCAGCCAGTGACACCTGAGACTCTGCCACACAGTCTGAGAATGCATCAGTGCTGACAGCAGCCTGGAGTAACACACAGAGCTTCACATTCCACTCAGTGACTCACCACTCGGCAACTGGCACCACGGGACTGGCTCAGAGAACTTAGGGACAAGAGGAACCTACCCAGGATGCAAAGACCCACAACTTTTCAGAAAATTGAGATTAATTTTCTTGTCCTAGACAGAACCAGTTATGGGCAGCAAATAATGAACCTAGGTTCCTGGATTTCGACTTAGTGGACTTCCCACCACTCCCCACCACATCTCTCCAGTGTCCTGGCTGAGCCTAAGCAAAAGGGCCCACTCTTCCTCCTGCAGTCTATGATATGAGTTCACCTGGATACACTACCTGGCTGACTTCACTTCTCACACACAGTCTCTTTGAACACAGGGTATACAAATAAAATCACTGAGGTACACAAGGGAAGATCAGATCCTCCTTCAGAAGCTACAATTAAAGTAAAACAAGGTGTATGATTGTCTATTTCTATACAGCCAAAAGAACTGTGAACTACGGAGGCAAAATCATAACCCGCAACCACAGCAGTCTGGCATTGAGTGTAGAGTTCTTTCTTCTTTGGCACAGTATATCCTATGACAGGCCTTCAAAGGACAAAACGTGGGACAGAAGGATTCACCCACCAATCATGAGTGTCACTCCCAGGGTCATGTGGCCAGGCAAACCCAGTGAAGCTTCTATCCTAGTATACAGCCATCCCATGAGGTTCATATTCACTGTGCTGCCCTGAGGAAGGAAAAAACAACAGGTTTCTCAATTATTAACACTCTTGGGGGAGGGTTTCCTTATTCACTTATAGTATCTTAGTAAAGTGAGTGTAACCAGAATCCAGATTACACGGAAGATAATCTGTACTAGAGTGAGGTGGGGAGACACACCTTTAATCCTGATCTTTTGAGGCAGAAGACCCACCCCTAATCTATACTACAACTTCTGCTGGAAGCCTATATAAGGACATGGAAGAAGGATACTTTCACTCTTTGCCAGCTTGCTCACTCTTTGCTTTCAAGTCAATTCCTTCACTGGCATTAGAGACTACTTCTTTGCTGGGTGGCGGCGGCGACGGGAAGCAGAGGCAGGCAGATCTCTGTGAGTTCGAGGCTGGGCTGGACCGACAGTCTCCGAAACAATACAGAGAAACCCTGTCTCGTAAAACCAAAAAAAAAAAAAAAAAAAAAAAAAAAAGAGACTACTTTGGGATTCCAGCATATGCTAAAGACAAGCTGAGGCACTCAATCTCATGTACTGAACAACTACTGGATTCTTGGCCTTTCTGTTCATAGACAGCCACTGTTGGATTAGCTGGACCACAGCCTGTAAGTCATTCTAATAAATTTTTTCTAAATATAGATAGAGATTCACTCTGACTCTAGAGAACCCTGACAAATACACTTTATCTATGCTATGAGGCTTCAAAAGACTTGTGCCATTTCTGGTGTGCTCTTTGCCTCCTAATTTCAGATTAAGATGTGAACTCTCCATTATACCTTCCAACATGCTTTTTATCTGTTATTATAGGCTCAAATCCACAAGCCCACTTAAAACTATAAGCCCAAATAAACACTTTCATTTGTAAGTTCCCTTTGTCATGGTCATGATGCTACAGCAATAGAAAAGTAATTAAGATAGGTGGGGTGGCTGGAGGTGAGAGAACTTGCAATCCTGGGTAAGCCCCCCTCTATAGTCTTAGAAAGCAACTCTGGCTGATTGACCTGGCTATTTTCTTTTAATTGAACCACAGAGGCAGAAACAAGGTAGCAGTCACCTTCTAGTAATAAGCCAAAACAAGAAAGATGACTCTGAGGTCAGGCTGTTGGAAGTGTGGTAAGATGTACTTGGAATATCCATGCTTTTTTGGTATAGTCAATGGGATTTGCTAACAAAAAGTATGTGGGAGGATGGGAGGAGGTGGAATTTGAAGAGAGTTGCCCTTGCTAAGGAGGAGAAACTCCCAATAAGTGCTGGTCTGAGGAATCAGGGGAGAATATGAAGAACTAGATAGAGGGTAAGTTTAGTTCAGCGTGTGAGTCAGGAATTGAGAAGAAAAGCCTGGACAGAGACAGCCAAGGGAAAACACTGAATAGGGGATTGCCTGTGTAAGTGAAGAATCCAAGGGAAAGGCTAGACAAGAAACATAAACTCAGAAGCATGACCATGCTATTCAAAACCGCAAAATGAGATCAGACCTTGAGGGCTATGAGTGCTGACCAAAGGTCACCGGCTAGAGCACTCCTACCTTTACAGCCATGAGGAGAGGGAGAGGGGGATCTGACATAAAGGCAGGAGGCATGAGAGGGGCCTGAACCTCAAGAAAGGGAGTAGCATTGCTCGACTGGGAAATAAAGCAGACTCCTAAAAGACGCAGACAGACACTCTCAAAGGCAGGGCTACCGCTGTCATGGAACCTGGTTTAGTGATTATTGAAATAGGAAGACTAAAGGTAACAAATTACAAAGGAAAATCAAAGGAATACTCAAACCCGAACTATGGCTGGGGTGGGGATTCTTAGAATACCTGACTGTCTTATAGGATGAATTCAGCAAATCTAAGGCTTGTCTCCTGGGTACCCTCCCCTAAGACAAAATAGGAAACACCAAGATCACTTGTAGTTCTCAATACCAGGAATACTAGCTGACAGAGTTAAGTCCAGTGAAACATGAGCTGAAAACTCCTGTCAGACAGCTTAGATAACCACAGGAAATAAATGTCTCTGATCAAGAACTGAAGAACCAATGACGTTTTAGTGCATGGCAAACAAAGTAAAAATTAATACTGAAGGCAGAACACTAGGGACAGACAGTATAAGTCCTTTGTGGGAAAAGTTTTCATCTGTGTTAATTTGAGCTTCAAAAGTTTGTGGTGCCACAAGCCTTTAAATCCAGCATTCTAAAGGCAGAGGCAAGCAGATCTCTGTGAGGTCAAGACCAGACTGAGATATATGCAGCAAGTTCCAGGTCAGCCATGCCTCTATAGTGAGGCTGTCTTTAAAAAACAAACAAACAAACAACACAAAACAAAAAAGTTAATGGAGAATAGGCTGCTCCCCCATAGAATGACCTTCCCACTGATGGAAATCTGAAAGTAGAACCTGGATGGATGGCTATAGAGACTTTTGAGGCAGGGTGCCAAAATTGGTGAGAAATTAGGCAAGCTATATTCAGACTCTTTGAACTAATGAAGACTCGCGTTGCTGTCTTATGTTATTTATGAATGTTTTATGGATGACAAAGTTCGGTGGTTTGAATAGATATGGCCCCCAGACTCGTGTGTCTGAGCGCTTGGCCTGTAGAGAGGGGTGGCACTATTAAGAGGTGTGGCCTTGTTAGAGTAGGTGAGGCCCTGTTGGAAGAAGTGGGTCACTGTGGGGGCAGGCTTTGAGGTCTTCTATGCTCAAGCTACTCCCAGTATGGAACACAGTCTCTTTCTGCTGCCTGCAGATCAAGGTATAGAACTCTCAGCTCTTTCTCCAGAACCATATCTGCCTGCATACTGCCAAGTCCATGATGATAACAGACTAAACCTCTGAAAATGTAAGCTAGTCCCACTTAAATGTTTTCCTTTGGAAGAGTTGCCACAGTCATGGTGTCTCTTCACAGCAATAACTAAGACACAAAGAAAATGTCACTTAAAGTCCTAGAGAAATACATAAAAGCAGAGGCTAAAGAAGTAGCTCCATGATTAGAGTGCTTGCTGTGCAACCAGAGGGACAAGAGTTCAGATCACAGCACCCATGCAACAAGCTAGTGTCCCCTGCATGCCTACTAACACAGCTCCGAGGAGACAGAAGACTGGAGCTTGCTGGCTTCCACCCTGAATGAGAAAATGCCTCAAATGAACAGGTAGAGAGTAAAAGAGTGTGACAGAGAGTGACATCCAATGCCCTCTTCTGACCTCTGCACGCATAGTCACCTACACAGACCCACACACACAAATAAGTACTTTTGAAAGTGATATATGAAAACGAATGCCTATTTCTTCACATCCAAGTATGCTCTAGCCTACTTCTTTCTAAGGCTTTGAAGAAGTGATTTGCTTCCTAAGGGGCCCCACTAGGTCTGTCACCATACTTACAATTCTGGCCATGCTGAGTTGGAGTCCAAACACCAGGTTTAATTCTTTGCCTTTAAACCAACTCACAGCATATGTGTTCTGGGCAACTGCTAAGGACTCTCCACCAATCCTAAATATCAGAGAGGTCAAAGCTTTGAAAAAAATCACAGTTAGCAATTTCAACACTCCTCCCCAAAAGAAGTGGGATTCCTGTCTCCTTTCACATGGAGGTAAGTTCAAGTGCTTCAGACGGTAAGACATAGGGAAGTGAATGCTGTGTCGTCATGGCAAGCCCCATTTCAGCCCATCACTCACAGCTGCCATCCTAAGTTACTTTGTACAAAGGGGAACCACTCCCATGCTACAGGAAAGCAAGCCACACAAGAGGTACCACTTGAAAATAAACATGTTCTTCAAGGCACCCAACCCAAGTATCCAACATGCAAAACAAGCTTCCAGATGATTCCAGCCTCTAGTGAATCTCTGCAGCAGAGATCCCAGATATCAAGACACAGTCAACCTACCCATATATACTACCTTGCCTCAAGTTGTAAACAAAATACAATTACTATTTTCTATTGTGACGTGTTGGAGTGACTTGGCAAGATGAGTTAGCAATCACGACAGGCGACAAAAGGAACCCAGCCTCTACACCATCTGTCCATACAAAACACTGATACAGGAGAGTGGCTTTCATTCATATTTTGTAAAAATGAAATCTCACTTTTCAGGCCAATATGTAAAGTTCTTGCATTGTCAACATTCTTCTACTTCTTGGGCTCTAATGTTCTTTCACTTCATTCCACATATTTATCACTACCCCTTAAGACCCATTTCAAAGCTTTGTGCCCTCCACATCCTAAAAATAAGCCCTGCCATGGCTCTGTCCCAGTCCAAAGGTATCTTCCTTCTTATCTACACATCAGTTTCCACACTGCTTTCTGCACTCTCCCATTCACCCATGTGGCCATTTTCAACCACATTTTTGTTTCAGAATCTCTCATCCTCTTATATGCATTTTACTTCCCTCAGGGATATACCATATCTATCCACACACCCTTGTTGACTCTGAAGAAAGACTTCATTCTGTCAGCTGTATCTCTCAAGCTGGGAAGGAGGAAGCCTAAGGCTTGACTCAGAACAGGGATGAAGACAGTCAGCTTAGAGATACTGTGCTACTTCAAGACAACTGAACAGTGAGCAGAAAGCTATATATTCTACTCACTAAGGAAGAGTAAGGTTCCCAGAGCAACCAGCCTAAAAACTGATGGTCCATACTTTTGTGGATCAGATTTAAATCAGTCTTCAATATCATCATGTTTTCAAAGCCCAGAAAAAGAATCATTTCTGAAGAAGCTTATCCAACTCTACAGTTAACCATGATCACTCAAACCACTACATCTTAGTTAAAACAAGTAACTAACTATGAAGCACACTTACATACATAGGATACATTCCAAGGATTTGAAATAATTGCTCACTGTTGGAACATGGTCCAAGAGTGAAGTAGTATGAGGAGAATTCTGAGTGCTTGTGAGGAAACTCCAAGAAAGCAAGGTAAGAGTCTTGTGACCTCAGTTTCTTCAAGAAACCCAGAATTAGTCTTGGAATGTGCTTTCATTGTCCTCTCAGGTATGGCGGATAGGAGTGAGTTTACTTCATTACAACTGGCTATGGTTGCTTATACGCCTCTATGGGAAGACATGTTCTGGCAACATGCAGCTTGTCAGTCATTTGAAGCTTGTCCTTGTGATTGTACACTTTACTCGTGTGACTCCTCTTAACCCTCAGAGAATAACTGTCTGATGCTCTGAATAAATTTGACTATTGCATGAGACTTTAGTCTGCCCATTTACAGACTCCATTCTGCCAAATCCCACTACCTCTAGAGCAGTAAACACCTCACAAGAGATAGTGATGTATTTCTTTTAAGTCCTTAATGAAGGACTAGCAGTGTGGCTCAGTGGATAGGTTGGGATATGGAAGGTTCTGGTTTCATCCTCAGCATCAAAAAGATCCTTAACAAACATGCTAAGATAACATGAGATTATGGTATAACTTACCCAAACACAAACCTCCCGAGTTCCATCAGCCAAAAAGCTTTAAATACTCCACCCAGAGCAAAAATAACCTGTAATAGAAAAGTAAGTTCAGGGTATTCAAAAGGAATGAGCTGGGCGGTGGTGGCACACGCCTTACATCCCAGCACTCGGGAGGCAGAGGCAGGCGGATCTCTGTGAGTTCCAGGCCAGGCTGGACTGACAGCCTCCAAAACAATACAGAGAAACCTTGTCTCGTAAAACCAAAAAAAAAAAAAAAAGCATGAGTAACATGGCAAATCCTCATTCTCACACTAATTTTACTAACCTGCTAGAAATTAAGATATTAATACTCATGCATTTAGCAGGACTTATCATGACCAGAAGGCAAGGCTCCAACACACCTGTGAGGGATCTCCTGGGTTAGGTTAACCCACACACAAATACCCACCCCAATATGGATGGCTCCATTCTATGAGCTGAGTGGCATGAGAAGAGACAGCAAGCTCCCTCACTTTCTGTTTCCTGACTACAGACACTGTGTGACCAGCTGCTTCATTTCCCCATCAGCATGCCTTCCCCTCAAACTGCTGGCCAGCTTTCTCCCTCCTAAGTGACTTCTGAAAATCACAACAAGCGGAAAAACTAAGACAATGTGATTTAAAGCTTAATAATTGACACCACCTGGCCATTCATGGGCCTGATTAATCAAGTTGGTCATTCATTAAACATATTTTTGCTAGGGGAATTAAATAAGACATCAAAGTCACTGTTAAGGAATGAATAAATATTTCGGCCTTTCTTACCTGTCCAATGCAAACAAAGCAGCTAAAAATAACTGTGCCCCATCTGTGTGAGAGAGAAAATGTCATTCTTTTCATTATTACTGTTGGTAATCACAGAGACCTATACTAATCAGCTGTTTGGGTTTTCTTTGCCTGCTCTGCTTTCCAAAAAGATGAATGCTCCAACTTTCCTAAACCAAACACCAATTTCTGACAGGATTCCAGAGGTTCAGCAATGGCACAGGATCATTCACATTATTATCACCCCTTAAAACCTAAGCAATCAGGGCTGGAGAGATTGCTCAGCAGTTAATTGGCTGCTCTTCAAGAGGGCCTGAGTTAGGTTACCAGCAATGGGGGGAGGAGAGCCTCACAACCACTGGTAATGAGATCTGGCGCCCTCTTCTGGCCTGCACACAAACATGCAGGTAGAACAATGTATTCATGATAAATAAAAACAAAAATAAACAAAAAACTCATGTACATAAAATAAAAAACAAACAAAAACCTAAGTAATATTCAAAAAGTTCCCAGGGTCAAACCATTTAGAAATGTAAATTACTTATTCAGGGTTTAGAACTAGAGGCTAGTGAGATGGTTCAGCAGTTATGAGTACTCATTGCTCTGACAGAGGACCCATGGTCAGGCAGCTCACAACTACTGTAACTCCAGTTCCTGGGGATCTGACCCTCTGTACTGGACACAAGTGGCATAAAAGAAAGTGGCATAAAAATAAATCTTTATGAGTTTAGAATTGGTTCTAGGAAATTCTACAGTAGATAATTTAAGTGACTACAATTCCTGATAACTTTAAAAAAACACTTTTAGAAGACAAATCTTGGGTAAGTTAATGGAGTTCCACATCCAACTTTAGTCTGAGTAACATTTAATAATTCACCAGATTAATTAAAATAGCAGGGCTAGAAGATTTCGTCTAAATGTTCTCTACAACTGGAAAACTCAATATCCCCAATTTATATCACCCCTATGAATAAGCAAGTTCCTCTTCCAAATAAGTGGAATATGTTTCCCTGAAAATCAGCTAATTCTATCCCTTGAGACCCAGTAAAATATATTTAACACTTCCTACATACTTAAAAACAAACCCCCCAAACTGAAGCACACAAGCATACTGTCAATGCCCATCCCTCAGACACATTTGAATCCACATTAGCAGCATCACTTCTGCCTTCTGAAGGAAGGCCCAACTATGTTAAGTCTTCACTCACAACACAGCCAATGAGAAGGATGTAGAGTGGCAATGCTCACAGGACTATTCCTCTTCAGCATCTCATGTGCATGGCCACAAAAACTTCAATGGCCAAAGAAAGGCGGAAATAGAGGGGGAAGTCTTAACTCTTACCAGAGCCTAGGGATGTATCGATACCTTTACATCTCCAACTCCCATTTAATCCCTGTGCACGCTTGTAAGGTAGGACTTATCACCTACTTAGCAGTGATGATACAAACTTAGGACAGTAGGAACTTGGCCACGTGGCAGCAAAGGGACTCATGCCTGGTTCATCTGACTCAAATTAAAAGCATAATTAATCTCCAGAAACCTTACTCCATCTGCAGCATTTCCCACGCCTGACCTTAACTGATCAACCAAGCCTCAAGGATGACATCTAGAGATGAAAACAAATCTTTAAAACCAGCGCACTAATCCTCATGTCCACCCACCATCAGTCAATTCACAAGTCTGTTTAGTTCTGCAAAGAAAAACTTCACCCCATCCCTACATTCTCTTAATCACCAGTTAAATTTGCCCACAAATTAATTCTTCTGCAAGCTTACCGTATTCCAAATACTCGATCTATCAAAAAGCCACCCAAGAAACACAAAACTACATTGGGCCAAGAATACCAGGCATACAGCAGCATGAATTTTGTAGTATTCACTTGCATGTCCTATATGGGAAGAAAAGAAAACTTTTTCCAAATGGATTTAGCAATTAACAAATTAAAACAAAAAGTGGTTACAGCTCTATTTCTGTATAGGATAAGTTTCTTAAGACTCTCATGGAAGCTACAGTCCTTGCACTCACAAGGACAGTCACACATGGGAATGTCTTAATTCTGCATAGTAATTGGGCCTCTAGGATTCCAGCACCAGTCACTGGTATGTGGGCCAACTCAGCCTGGTTCTATATCCTACATCCTTACATTGTTATTTCTGTCTGCATTATGGACTTGTGCCACACAGAAAAGAATCACCTTTGCCTAGTCTTATAGACCCTATTCTCGTTAACTCCTACTAGAATACAGAAGGACAATCTATGCACACCTTCTGCTCAATGGCTTCAAAAAGAAAATGCACACAATAATGGTCTAAATGCCCAAGAAATGACAAATATTAAATATAATTTTACAATTCAAGACCAGACTAAGAATGCTGATAGGGACAATACTCAGCAAACAGTATCCACATTTATAAAAGTAAATAACAACAGAGTTTATCTAAGAAGGCCAAAGTCTTTTCACAAATCACTTATTCAGAGGAGTAGGAAACGGGAGTATAAATCTCAACAAAAACTAGCATTTTTAGCAACACTGTGGATAGAGTTCACAATTACCTACCTAAAGAGTGAAACTCTCTGTCATATATGTGTCATCCATGAGTTCTTTGTTGAAACAAACTTGATTTCAATAAGTCTGTAGCTAGGCATTTGCCGGTAACACCAGAATGAAAAGTGGACATTTCAGAGGGGCAGCTCATGGTAGCTCAGCATCTATAAGTCAGTGCTCCAAAACAAAGAGCAGCACAAGAATGTGGACAATCAACTCACCCGTTTAACCTGAGTCTGAAGGGCAGCAGGACTGTCATAGCAAAAATAGCTACCTAGGAAAGAAAGAGCACACATTATATGATAATGTCTACACAAGAGTTTCCAGTTACAACTCCTCCTAATTAGTAACTACTCTGGAGTGTTTAAGGTTTACACTATTGCTGACACAACGGAAACTTTTTTTTAGAGCACTTCCTTTACCTACCATCCAAAAGAACTTCCACTATTTAGCAATATGCATACCCAGCAAATAGAAGAAACTTAATTAAGAAGTCAACATTGACTGCTTTTAATCATTTTGTTTTCTTCATGCTTCCCGTGCATATTACTGCATTATTAATATCTTCATGAAACAGCTTCATTTTCCTCACTTAAAGCCATCAACACTAAAAATTCTACATTCTCTACAGTTGCATGTTAGCTGTTGTCACTTTTCTTGAAAGCAGAATTAACTTCAGCTATTTAAGCCAAACCAGTATTTGAAATAAATTCTGATCCTGCAAACAAAATGCTCAGGAGCAAATGACTGAGTGAATGCGGAGCTAGAGAGGAGAGCAACACAACTGAGAGGTTAAGGATCAAATGAAAATACAGCGATGTCTCTCGAGGAGCGGGGAGAAAGCTGTTATGCATGACCCGGAGATGTATCACAAAGGTAACAGACAGGCTTGAGGAGGCCCCACGATAACACTGCTTGTCTCCACCCTGACTCTGCAAACACACAAAACCACCAGTTCAAAGGTGGGCAAGGTAATTAGAGAGGCAGGCTCTGGTGTCTCAAACCCAAACGTTTAGCCATCTACCTACCAAAAATAAGCTGTCAGCATGAATTGGGACAATTTCTTCAAGTGATTTGTCTTTGTCTCTTGGTTATTGATTCTAAACCTAGAATTTCTGGTTCCTGATTTAGTTTCTAATAAGAGATTCAATACTATGGTTTGTTTGTTTGTTTGTTTGTTTGTTGAGACAAGATCTCACTCTGTAGCTTCGGCTGTCCTCTTTAACTCTTAAGAGACTCACCTGTCTCTGCCTCCCAGTACTGGAATTAAAGGAAGTACACCACCACACCCGGTTCACAACCACGTTTTAAAGCAAATGAATGGGTTCCATCTTTTCAAAAACTAGTCAACAGTGTGTATGAATTGCAACGAAACCAAAGCCCAAAGTATCCTTTACACGCCAGGAGCATATATTTTTTAATCTGATCCCTGAAATGACACTTTCAAGCCTAACCAGTATTCACTAATCGGAACAGTTGCAGCGTAAATTTAAAACTGTAACACAGGAGAAAATAGGTTTTTAAAAGAATCTCAAGAAACTGCTTTCTGAGGATCAGATTTCTGAAGTGAAACCAACCACTTGCAAACAAGCGTGGTCCTGCAGGAATGCTTCACACAGGAAGGGTAAGAAAAGACGCCTACTGTTAGGCTCCCAGCAAGGTACAATGCCTCAAGCGGGTGCGAGATCTAAAGGAACACCAAGAAAAGCGCGTGAGGAAAGGAAGGAGTGTCGCCTAGGGAAGAGAGGAGAAAGTACTTAGTCAACGCTCAGAAATCTCCTGAGCACAGTGCTCGGGGGTGGGGTGAGGTGGAGAGTATCTGAGATTCCTCTCATCTGCATCCCCAGGGAGGAACTTCTGCACTCTGGGGACTTAGCAGGAACAAAAGTCACCAGCTCAGTCCCCAGGACTCGCTTGTGACGACTGGATAAACAGGGTCTCAAGACCAGGCGACAGATCGGACCCGGGGACACGAACTCCGGAATCCCTCAGTCTCCCTAGCCCTCCCCGGCTCACCGAAGCCAAGAAGGCACATCAGCAACAGCACCACGAGCCGGTGCGCCAGGCGGCTGGGGTCGCAGAGCGCGGGCAGAGCGCGCGGGGCGCCCTGGACTGCGCTGTCCCCCTCGGGGCGGTCCCCAAGCAGCGCCCGCACCTCCTCATCCTCCTCCTCCATCGGCCTGAAGCGCGGAACGGAGCAGGAAGCAAAGGCAGGGCAGCAGTGACACCGCGCTCACGTGACCACGTGCGCTCACGTGACTCCCGCGGGTCACGCACTGCCGAGCTCACGTGAACGACCGTTCACGTGGTGGCGGGCTATTTGTATGCTGTCCTGCTGATGTGGGTGGGGTGAGGTGGGTCTAGTCCCTTCCGGGTTACCATCTGATTAGAGACTAAGAGGATGTGCCTGTGCAGAACTCCCAGTGAATGGCTCGACTTGAGCCGCTAGGGACCCCAAAATGCAGCGTCCTTCTCACAGCTGAGCCCTCCTCTTCCTCTCTTCGCCAACTCTTCATGCTCCCCGACCTTCTGGTGTCCCTGGCACTTATGTCATGGAAAAGTCCTTTCACCTCGAGAATACGGATGAGAGAATTTACTTAGAGAGATGGACAGAAACTAATCATGTGGAGGGTGGCTGGCTGAGTGACGGCAGCGGGAGTGGGCATTCCTCACAAATGTCTGATCTGGGTTTTATATGTTTATAATTACACGTTTATATTGATTTTGGAATAAGAGAAGAAAATCGAGAGTAGAAATGTGCAACTCCTAAAGATGCCCAGCAGAGTCAAAACCGTTAACTTTGTTTGAGAAATTCGATTTGGTAGCACAGCCCTCTACCCAACTTTTCTGGGTGTCCCAAGTCTTTGCCAGTAGAATTTGGAGTGTGGCAATGCTCGGTGATAAATAGCTATGAAGCATGTAACAGAAGTGACAGTGAGAGACTCCAAGCCTGGCCCTGAAAAGTCCACAGGTATGGCACAAAGGAGAGTTTCAATGATCGCCTACGAGGTAAAATAGGTCTAAAAATAGCATAAGAGATCTGAAAGAAGAGGAGGACTTTTGAGTGTCTCCCAGATTTCTAGGTTGGGCCCTCCAAAGAGATCCAAATAGAGAGGATGGGGAAGTAGAAAGGGAGTGTTAGCGGAGAGATGGGGTTTGGAATGTTTACATAGAACCCTCTTTCTACCTCCCATCACCCGGTTCTCCCCATCCCCCACCCCTGACTAACAACTCCAGCACAGTGGTCACACACTGGCTTGGGCTTATTCTTTCACTAAGCATCAGCTGTACTAGAGGAAAGATCCTACACCATCACTTTACATTGGCTGACTCTGCCTATAGGATAGATGACTAAATGTCTTGTGCTAGGGTAGTTCATGTCAACTGGACACAAGCTGAAGTCACATAAGGAGGGAACTTCAATTAAGTAAAAGTTTCCATCCCCGCATCAGCTCTTGAAGGCAAAGTGGAAGAGCTGGGCCTGCCCTGCACCAGCTGCAGCACTCGGGAGAGCGGACCTTGCACCTTGGCTGATCAACACAGCAGAGCTGACCCTGGTGGTATGGGTGCAGGTGAACTGCCCCCCCCTCCCCACCCCCCCACTCCCGCATGAGAACAGAACTGGCCCTTGCTGCCTGCTGCATCGGGTAAGTTAGCCAGGGCAATGCTGGAGAAATCACACTGGTGGTGAGGGTGAGGGAGAGCTGGCGGCCTGACCAACCCAGCCACCACCCAGGCCCAGAACCAAGACCATAAGTTGGCCTACCCCAACATCCACCCCATCTGTGAAGGGGCAGATCCTGAAGATCCAAAGCTGCAGGATTTCCATGACACAGGGTAACAACAGGATATCCAAGAGGAGTCCCAGAAAGCCCAGTACTGATAGTGTAGCAAGAAGACAGAGGCATCGAGCCAGACCAATGACTCGTTGCAACGAACAGTTGGAAGTATGGATGTATGTGCTCCCTCAACCACACTACAGCTTTCATGACAAGATGGTTTTTTGCAGGGTTGGGGGGGGAGATTGCAAAGGCAAAGGGCAGATACAAAGGGACAGGGAGATGAGTGAGGTCAGGATGCATGATGGGAAATGCACAAAGAATAAACATTGTTTTCTAAGAAAGAAAAAATACTTTAAAATGAATAAAGAAAAGAAAACGAAACCTCCACAAGATCAAGCTGTAGGTAAACCTGAAGGGCATTTGCTTAATTAGTGATTGATATGGGGGCCCAGTCCATTGTGGGTGGTGCCATCCTTGTGCTTATGGTCCTGGATGAAGAAAGCAGGCTGAGCAAGCCATGAGGAACAAGCCAGTAAGCAGCACTCCACAGACTCTGCATCGCTTCCTGCCTCCAGGCTCTCGCCCTGTTTGAGTCCTGTCCTGCTTCTTCAGTGATAGACTATGATGTGGAAGTGTAAGACAAATAAACCCTTTCTTCCCCAACTTGCTTTTGTCATGGTTTTCCATCATAGCGATAGAAACCCCTGACTAAGGCAAATCTAATGACAAACAGCAGTTTTATTTTAAAATGTTATACATTTAAAAAATAGTATTCATATTAAAAGCTATCCCCATTTACATGTCCATTGGCAATATGGGTAAGAGCCTGGTTCCACTATCTCTAATCCAGATTTGTTACTAAATTTTTTAAGTATTTTTTTAAAATTTAAATTAGAGACATGCATGCTTCAAATGTCAATCCCAGCTTCTCCCTTCTCCCTCCACCAGCCCCACCCCCATTCCCCCACCCCACATCATTCCCCAGGGAGGGTGAAGCCCTCCTTGGGGGTATCTCCAGAGTCTGTCATTTCATCCAGGGCAGGACCTAGACCCTTCCCCATGTGTCCAGGCTGAGAGAGCATCCCTCCATGTGGAATGGGCTCCCAAAGTTCATTTGTATGCCATGGTAAACACTAATCTACTACCCAAGGCCCCAGAGATTGCTGAGGCCTCCTCACTGACACTACATTCATGGAGTCTGGATCAGTCCCCTTTTGGCCTCTTAGTCATCAGTCTGGGTTCAAGAGCTCCCCCTTGTCCGGTCAGCTGTCTTTGTGGGTTTCACAAACACAGTCTTGACCCTTTTGCTCATCACTCCTCCATCTCTGTCACTGGGTTCCAGGGGGTCAGTTCAGTGTTTAACTGTGGGTATCTGATTCTGCTTCCATCAGTCACTGGATGAGGGTTCTAGGATGCCACATAAGGTAGTTATCAACCTTATCATCAGGTAGGGGCTATTAATGTAGTTTCTCTGCTATTACTTAGTTTTCCAGTTGGTATTATCCTTGTACATCTTTGGAAATCTCCCTAGTGTCAGCTCTCTCCTCAAAGCTATAATGACTCCGACTATTATGGTATCTCTCATCCTGGTCTCTTCTATTCTTACCCCAACTCAACCTTCCTGCTCCCCCATGTCTTCTTCTACCCTCCTCTTATCCCCCTCTCTTTTTCCTGGTTCCCTCTCTTCTCCCCCTATGTTCCCTATCTGCCTAGGAGATCTTGCCTCTTTCCACTTCTCTGGGGTATAATGCATATCTCTTGGGAACCTCCCTGTTTCCCAGACTCACTGGCCCTGGGATTGTAGGCTGACACTCCCCTGATCCATGTCTAAAATCCATATATGAGTGAGTATATACCATGTTTGTCTTTTTGTGACTGGGTTACCTAACTCAGGATGGTTTCTTCTAGTGACATTCATTTGCCTGCAAATTTCAAGATTCCGTTGTTTTTTTTTTCCCGCTGAGTAGCACTCCATTGTGTAAATGTACCACATTTTCTCTATCCACTCTTCAGTTGAGGGGCATCTAGGTTGCTTCCAGGATCTAGCTATTACAAATAATGCTGCTATAGTGGAACAGACATCCTTGTTGTATGAATGGGCATCTTTTGGGTGTATGTCTAAGAGTGGAATTGCTGGGTTGTGTGGTAGACTGATTCCCATTTTCCTGAGGAATCTCCATACTGATTTCCAAAGTGGCTGTACAAGTTTGCACTCCCACCAGCAATGGACGATTGTTCCCTTTTCTCCACATCCTCTCCAGCATAAGCTGTCATTGGTGTTTTTTATTTTAGACATTCTGACAGGAGTAAGATGATATCTCAGGGTTGTTTTGATTTATATTTCCCTAATGGCTAAGGATGTTGAGCACTTTCTCAAGTGTCTCTCAGCCATTTTAGTCTCCTCTATTGAGAAATCTCTATTTTGTTCAGTCCCCCACTTTTTAATTGGATCCTTTGGTGTTTTGGAGAATAGCTTCTTGAGTTCTTTGTAAATTTTGGAGATCAGCCCTCTGTCAGATGTGGGATTGTTACTAAATTTTTAAATCTTTGAAAATCTAAGTAGAAATGGCTATTGTAGTCATTTTGTGTCTATTGTTTTTTTAACTAGTTAATAGTAACCTGTATTTTAATAAAATGGCTAAGGTAATATTTTGTGTTTCCTCAGCCCTGTGTCCTCCCAATAGCCATGTCTGCCCTGGCAACATATTTGAGATTTCCATGACCTTGACTATGGTATAGATATGTTCTTGAAAATAATGAATATTTATACAAACTTAAACTAACTGAAGAATATATGTCAAAAATAATTGGCGGTTCCGGATCAGGTACAACAGGACCCAGCATAGGGTCCAGGGGACCAGGTAGGAGGCTAAGCGCCCCAGATTCCTGTTCTTCTTCTCTACCCACGGACCAGCATTTGGACAAGGCATAGAAGAACCACCAGATTACTGGACTTACTAGCACCCATCAAAGGGAACTCTGGTCCCCAGACCAGGAAGGGGCTCTTTCTGCACCCACTAGAAGAAGAGATGGGAAAGAGACAATACAAAAACACAGTCAGCAACAGAAACACAAATATGACACCGCCAGATTCTAGAGACTCCACACCATCAAGACCCCAATATTCCAACGCAAAGGAAGCAGAAGAGAACGACCTTAAAAGCACTTTCATGAAAATGATAGAGGCCCTAAAAGAGGATATTGGAAAATCCCTCAAAGAAATGGAAGAAAAAACAAACCAAAAAATGCAAGAAATGGAAGAAAAAACAAACCAAAAAATGCAAGAATTGGAAGAAAAAACAAACCAAAAAAGGCACGAAATGGAAGAAGAAATGAAGCAAAAAATGCAAGAAATGGAAGAAAAAGCAAAGCAAAAAATGCAAGAATTAGAAGAAGAAACATACCAAATAAGGCAGGAAATGGAAGAAGAAACAAAGCAAAAAATGCAAGAA